TTCCCGGCCAGCAGATATTGTGAGGATGAGATATGATCGACTAAGAAGCATAGCAGGGAGGGTTCAGACTGTTGTCGGTGATCTGGCAACTCAAGGCGAAAGGTTTCAGTCTCTTCTGAGTTGGAGAGACCCTAGAGCCACAACCCTGTTCATAACTTTCTGTTTGATTGCCGCCATTGTTCTCTACGTAACTCCATTCCAAGTTGTGGCCCTTCTAGCAGGCATTTACGTGTTAAGGCATCCCAGATTCCGCCACAAACTTCCTTCAGTGCCGCTCAACTTCTTTAGGAGGTTGCCTGCAAGATCAGACAGCATGCTATAAGCACACAACCCGCCTTCACGAATCACTCCTCTCCTCTTCATCATTGTATCTGTGTTTCGAAGTTGTGCAGATGGTGAAGCAGGGTGAAAAGTAACAAAAATCGGCAATTTTCCACCACATAAAGTGGTGATTTTATGAACTTGTTTATGTCTTTGTATTTAAAATTTTAACTTCTGCTTATGGTTTACAACGCATGTCATTTATCAGATTCAATTTGAATATAGCCAGTGCAGAACCAGAATTCGATTCGTCATTGCAGTATGTTAAAATTTTAACCATGCAAGAAACATACGAAATTTGAAATTCCGACTCATAAACTTTGGTGCTTCTGAAACTCAGTATGAAACACACCTAGTTACTGTATTTATAACATTAAACTGTGGAGACTATAAGCAAATCTTAAACTCCGGTAGGACATTGGTACATGCTCGATCTGTCCGATGGCCCCGTCCGGTTAGTAGAAGCTTCCTCATGTTTCTTCCTTGTTATAAGCACACAATCCTCATGTTTCTTCCTTGTTTTCTCTTGTCACCATTGAATTTCTTGCGTAAATCGAATTCGATAAGTTAGTAAACTAGTCATACCAGAAAACATGAAGTTGGACGACCTTGCTGCAGAATGAAAGCTTAAGGGCCTAAATAGTTTGAACAGATTAAAAAGCTTCCAATGTTGTAATTGGTTCTTGGTGGCATTACAATTTCATGTCAACTTGTTGAGGGATCTGTAAGAAATATGTGAATTGTATATATATTACTAGTTCGTAATGCATACGGATGTTTTAGTCATTAGATTTTATTTTTATAACTATTAGATCTTCTACTTTTAATCTTAACCATTCATTTTTCGTATCATTCGTCATTACATAATATAGAAGAAAAATTGAATAACATACAAAGTTACTAAAATCCCTCTCAAAGCAACCCAAGGAGCAAGGCTCACCTTGATATGGGTTTTAGAATGTTTGGCCCACTTAGTTGTTGTCCCCCTCCTTGTTGGTTTTTTGCCAATTTCATCTTCTCCTCGAGGCTCCAGCATAACAATTTCAATTTTTTCCCTTCAGATTCTTTTATTTTGTGTTGTATTCATTACTCCTCCCGCAAAACTGCTTCATATCCCACATTTGCTTTTATATTCATGCACGTTTGCGTTCCACAAAACTGCTTTCATTACATAGTTCAAGCCTTCAATTGCAAAATAGCAATTCTAATTGTAAACGTATTAGGTTTCTTTTTTTTTTTCATTTTTTTTACTCAATTACTTAAAGCAGTTTGAAAACTGCAATATCTCCTACAGTCCCATGTTTCTTTCCAATTTTTTAGTGCATCTCTTACCTTTAGTATTTATCTACTTAAAAAAAAAAAATGAAGATCAGTTACCAATCACTTAGCCACTATGTGGACTCTCGACCAGTGTTGGTTTTAAATTTTGTTTTCTTTTTTATTTTTCTTTTTTTATTTATTTTGTTTTCCAATACAGTTTTTTGTTGATATATGGTATTTTACCAGTTTGTCCTTGTTTTTTGAATTTTTTGGGTTTTAATTGTGAAGGAAAGAAATGAGCATTTTGGAAAGCTTCACCGAAGTGGGACTCTCCCTTTATATATATATATATATATATATATATATATATATATATATATATGCATAAACCCAAGATAACCAGCACAATGATTTATTTGTTGTGGCGTAAGATGAACTTGGACATCGGTACATATTACCAACACTATAATATATATTGAAAATTTATAATCTTATATGTTGCTATTTAATAGTAGAATCCATAGATGAATTACTTTCGATTTGGCTATATATAACAACATGAAATTCAACTTCATGAATAATATACCTTAAAAATTCATTTGGACTGCACGAATCTACTCTGAAGTTTAAAAGGAGAAAATAATTAACATAAGAGTTTAAAAGGAGAAAATATATAACTAATTACAGAAATTAGATAAGAGGGATGCATATAATAAAGAAAACTTACTAGGTGCCAACAATTCCTATGAAGTTTCTGCATACTGGGCACGCAAGCTTTCCTTTTCTTTTAAAACGACATAGTTTTGAATCTGGTCTTTAGTTATCTTTTTTTTCAAATATTTTTAAAAGAAAAAAAAAACAATAAACCTCCTTGTATCCACACCCATCCCCGATTACTGCCCCCAAAAAAGAACCTAAATCACTGTCATATCAACTCCCAAATTGCACAGCCACTGAGCCACCATAACTCCCCAACCCCGGAGAAAAACTTATATAAGACTCAACGTCCTATTGGATCATATTGAATGGTACTACAGACTACTCATAATTTGCCATGTATTCAACATTAAATATGATTTCTTATTTTTTGTTTTATATCAAAATAAAATAAATTAAATTAAAGCATTATTTCTTCAAGAAACTAAAATTGTTAAAATAAAACTCAACCGTAGTTCAACCTTCCTCCATCTCCAAACTCGTCCATGGGCTCTTCTCTCTCGTCGGTCAATGTCCCCAACGCCATCAATTCTCCTCCTTTACTACTCAACCTCCCACTTCCTTGGTTCCCCCATCCCTCATCTGTCTCTCTCATGATTGCTTATAACTAATGCAATTTCACATCTATAACTAATTCAATTTCACATCAATAGTCCATAGTATTTGAAAACTGGGAACTACAAACAACTGGTGAAGAAAGGTGGCTTTTATAATTGGGTTCTTCACCAGAATTTATATATCCTTGATAATTATTCGATAAGTTATAAAAATAATGAGGTTAGTCAGACACGTAATTCATTTAAGATGGATTAATGAACCTTTGAACCAGTAATTACACAAATTCTACACAATTTCCCAGCAACCATGTAAGGCCGTGAGAAAGAGAGGTGTCCCTCAAAGTCAAGCCTTTTAAAACTTTACTTTTTCCACATAATTTTTTTATTTTTTATTTTCATTAATTGTGATATAAATTGAAAATAAGAAATTACACTAATGCAGCAATACTTTACACTTGGCAAGCTATGAATGATGTGGTAGTGCTACTTAGCAATATTTAGGGGTGGTTCGGTATGGGATCCCATACCGAAACCATTGTCCCGATTCCCAAACCGAAATTTTTGGGAATCCCAAATTCAATCCCAATCCCAAACCAAATTTTCGGGAATCCCGAAATAATTTCGGGATTTCGGGACAAATCGGGAATCCCGAAATGCTTTTGGGCTTTTGGACTAAAATTTGACATATTATGTTTTTGGGCTAAAATTTGACATATTATAAAGTAATAAATAAAGTAACAAACTCAAAAGCAAAAATAGTAGTTACAAGCCAAGGTTTATAAATAAAGTAACAAACCCAAAATCAAAAAAATTAGTTATGAGCCAAAGTTTCAATAATTAAGTTACAAACCAAAAGCTAAAAAGCAAAGCTTAAAGTCTATAAATATTGTTGGCCTCTTCGACCCCTTCGTCCCCTTGATCTTGTTGATGCTTGTGGTTGCTCCCTTCTTGTTGGTAATTGTACTCTTCCCCTTGATGTTGATGGTTGAGCCCTTCCCCTTGCAATGGGTGGTCGTGGAGGTAGTGATTGATTTTGACGTTGTTGAACTTCAACTTGGAGTGGTCGAGGAGGTGGAGGTGGCATTTCATTTTCTTGTGTTGTATTCTCCTCACCTCCCAAATTAGCCGTGCCTAAAACAATAAACCACAAATCATTTACATTGAATTATAGTCTAATAGATAATAAATACTAAGAAAATAAAAGAGGATATACGAAGCACAACAAGGGAATCAAACTTTTGTGCCAACCACTCGGTTTTTTTACCATTGTAGATTCAAGGGCTACCAAAACAGGTTATGTGTGTATGCCTAACTATCTTTATAATAAATATATGTTTTTTTTGTTACAACTAATAAATAATGAATAATTCAAATACAAACTTTTCATATCACTAACTATTAGTACTAGTTAGAACTTAAACTACATCAAATATTAAGGTGCATCAATTATAACTATCAGTATACCCTTTATTAACCTCCCTATAGTGAATTACACCACATCAGTTATATTAATTAGTTTTATTAATGTACTAGTTTATCAATTAACAATATGCATGCACAATATTAAGATACTAGTGTAATATATGTATACTGATATATATAATCAAACTTTTCTAAGTCATCTAACCTAAAAACAAATGAACGGCACAAATTAAATCTAAAATAATGAACGGTTCAAATAATTCTCTTATAATAAAAAAATAATATATATATAATATTTATTTCAATTCGGTATGGGAATACCGAAAAAATGGAGATGGAATACCGAATCCCATACCGAAAATTTCGGTTTGGTTCGGGATTACATACCAAAAATTTCGGGAATTTTGGTTTGGGATTTTTTTGGTTTGGGATGGGGATTTTTTCGGTTTGGTTTGGGATTTTTGGGATTTTTTTCCAGCCCTAGCAATATTTAGTCGCAAGCCAAGCTCCACGTAATTCTTTCTCTCAACCCCACCACCACATGCGGCCATTTTGCCACCGAGCCACTACTCTCTCCTCTCATATTTTCATTCCCAAATTTTATATAACTTTTAAATTATAATCCCAAATATTATGGTTTATGAATAATTGGATATTGAGATTTAAAAAAAAAACATTAAATTCTTTTACCTATTAATTATGGATCCGCCGCTCACTTGTATATATAAAATTCTAATCCATTTATTGCAAAGCAGTAGGTTGATAAACATATATTACAATAGATCTAAACACCTTATTTGTGCACGCTATCTAGGGTATAATTCAGTGATAGATCCATTATAAACGGACATAGATGACTTGTTGATATCGGACTCCAACGTTGTCATTGACGTGTTCCCCACCACTTTGCCTTGGAGGAAAAATGCCGGTTCTTTAGGTAATGGTAGATTGACAGAGTAACCATTGAGCATGAGAACTACTGATTGCATCGTAGGCCTGTCAGCTGGATCTTCCTGAACACAAAGTAAGCCGATGTGGATGCATCTGATTACTTCAGTCCTTGAATAAGAGTCTCTCAGACTCGGATCCAACAATTCCAAAGATGTCTCGTCTCTCCATAACTTCCAAGCCTGTATAAAACTCAAAGTTTTAACTCATGATGCTATGTCAATGCAGGAGAACAGAACACTGCACTTTTCATTTTAAGCTTACATGGCTTGCCAGGTTCTCAGCTGCATTGGTCTGAAAAAAGTGACTGTTCTTTTTGCCATTGATGATTTCTAGCACTAAAACACCGAAACTATACATATCGGACTTGACAGAAAATTGCCCGTGCATTGCATACTCGGGAGACATATAACCACTACAAGTTGAGATGGGAAAATTTGACAAATTCATTAGTACAGATAGTGCAAAGAAGAGGTGGTCGTGTTAAAAGAAAAGAAAAAAAAGGGAGAAACTTACTACGTTCCGACAATTCTATTTGTATTTGCTTGAGTTTGATCAACCTCAAAGATCCTGGCCATGCCAAAATCAGATATTTTTGGATGCATGTCCCCATCTAACAATATATTGCTGGCTTTGAGATCACGATGTATAATTCTAAGTCGGGAATCTTCATGCAGGTACATGATTCCTCTAGCAATTCCTGAAATAATCTGGTAACGTCTTGACCAATCCAATTGCCCCTGTTTCTCAGGGTCTGCAAATCATCAAAATCAAGTTATCATCGACGAACTGCTATTGCAATAGGGAAAGACTTATCAGATGTTTGAGTGTACAAACCAAATAGGAAACAGTCGAGGCTTTTGTTGAGCACGTATTCATAAACAAGAATCTTTTCTTCACCTTCCAAGCAAAATCCCAAGAGCCTAACCAAATTTCGGTGTTGAAGCTTGGCTACCAATACCATCTCGTTCTTAAATTCTTCTGTGCCTTGGCAAGAGTTCCTTGATAGCCTCTTCACAGCTACTTCTTGACCGTTTGAAAGTGTACCCTGCGAGAAAACTTCAATCAAACAATGGAATGTCCACTCATGGCATTCATGGACGGCTTCTGAGGCTCCAAAATTATTCAGATTTTGCATGCATAAAAGTTGGAACTTTGTAGACCTGATGGAGCACTCATGTCATATACTGATTAACATACCTTGTAAACTTGACCGAAACCACCTTTGCCTAACCTGTGATCATCGGAGAAATTGCTCGTAGCTGCTTGGATGGTAGCAAAATCAAATTGCAAAGACTCGACAGTAGTAATGTCATTCTCACCTGCACAACCAACCAAACCATAGAAGCACAATGTTTATAGACGAGGAATAAACAAAAGGAGAATCAACGAGAATAAACAAGAGGAGAATCGCAGAAGAATATATTTGTTTACCGCTTGGTTCGTCTGCTGCTGCTTGATTGTACTTCTTTCTCGCTCTCCTAGTTATGCAGCAGTAACCCACAACGAAAAGTAGCACAGATACAGATATTGCTACAGCAATGGCAACAATTGTACTAGTTGGGGTTTTGCTTTTTCCTGCAAAATAAACAAAAAATATTGAGAAATTGGTAAACTCAGCGGCCACGGCACAACACCATATTCCCCTGTTCCAAAGTCCACAATAGCTATCAATTACCTAACAAACTAATCGGACAATACAATAATCACTTGATTGGGGCTTCTAAAAAGGTTAGAAACATTTTTGGGGGCTAGTGTATACCTTTAGGCCCTTCTCTGATGGAGGCTGGCGGCGGTGGGCCGGAGGAGTAGAAGGGGTAAATTTCAAACCTAAGATTGCAACTGGGTTTTAGAACTCGTCCCCCAGCACTTGTTCTAGGAATTTGTGTTGCAGCTACCAGAAGACACCAATTGCAATCTCCAGGGAACAGGTCCTGCGTGCACTGCCCAAATCCGTACAGCGTAATGGAACCTGAAACATTCGTTTCTTTCGTCGCAAACTTGTGACTGCTATTGGAAGTCCGAGCGGCCACTTCGGTGACCGTAGCTGCCAGTACCTCGTTGAACCGGTTTTGGTCCGTTATACTACTTGCATTCTGCGTGTTCCAAAGGTACACGGAAGGCTTGTCGGCTACCCTGGAAAAGAAAGACTCGTTGGAGTAGCGTAGCATGCAGTAGTCGTACCAGATCACCATCTCTTTTTCTACAGGGCAGCGTTGTGGGGCCTCGGCGGTAGCGGTGGCGACACAGGTTTCGCAAGCGTCGGTGCCGACGACATCGCCGCGGCAGAGGAAGAGGCCGTAGACGGAGTTGTTTGGGGCTTGGACGGAGGCGTTGTAGAAGCCGGTGGAGCGGTTGGCGTTGGAGGAGAGGGTGGAGAGGAGGCGGTTGAGGTTGGACTGGAAGGTGGAGTTTGGGGTGAAGGTGGTGGTGTTTGGGCAGATGCGAGCCAGGTAATCAGCATCCGTAATGGTCGGAAAGCTGAGCAGAGTAAAAACGGAGAAAATCAAAAGAAGGGTTGTCATGCTTTCATTTTTTGGTGATTCATCGTAACATCATAGGTTTTTTTTTTTTTTTTTTTTTTTTTGTGGGAAACTAACTTCATAGGTTTTTTTTTTTTTGAACACCTAACTTCATAGGTTTTTTTTTTTTGGAACACCTAACTTCATAGGTTTTTGTACTGAGTATTAACAAGTGATCAGGACTGTTTGCCCTCCCCACCGCATGAACCTGGATTGTCTGCCCTACTTATCCTATATCCTTCCCATTCTTTTTTATTTATGTGATCATGGTTATGCCACATCAATATTTTATATTGATTTTTTTATAGAAATAATAAGACAAAAAACAATGAGAATACAAAATGTTGACGTGACTTATCCTTGACCACAAAAGTATAAGAGGATGGAAAAAATATGGAATGGAGACCTGGATTGTTTGCCCTCCCCATCACTTGACTAACATCATAGGTTTTTGTATTGAGTATTAACAAGAGCAATGCAGGGGTGGAAGCAAGACTTTTCTGTAATTGAGTGTTGCAGAAGAGTTCCTATCATACAACCGGGTTTTAGCCACAGTGCCATCAACCTCTAATAAGTGCTTCCAACTTGTTCAAAAGTTGCACTATTCTGTCCACTGACCAAGTGTTTAGTGGTGAATTGGTAAAAAAAACAAAGGTGATTTTAGGGAGATAAAAATTTTAAGTTAATTTTTTAAAACAAAATGATATAGTTGTTGATAATTAGATTATATTAATTATGCATTTATTTTTTATTGGTGACACGTCTTTTAGTTTAAAATTTTAGTCTTCCTAATATTGTCTTTTGATTAAGCCCACCTTGTAGGTACCTTGTGTCCATAAGATAGGTTTAGGTTAGCTGATAAACCGTTAACCCGTGTTTGATTGTTTCTTCGTTGTTGCCTTCTTCTTTTTCTTTTGGTTTTTCAAAGTGGTATGTTCATGATTGAAATGTAGCCATGAATTGACATGAGCGTTTGAACTGACAGACAAGTTTTGTCCTAAGAGCTGAGTTGAGTCGATTGGAAATTTTGGCCAAATAGTTCTTGTTGTTTTTTCCTCCTCAAATATTCAACAATTACACCTTTGATTATATGAAAAAAGGTTGCAAATACAACTCCTAAAGGGATATAAGAAAATTAGAGTATTGGTCCTGAATTGAAAATCTATAAGCATCAGTCCTTAAATGGTTCATAATGTGGAGTATTGATTCTTTTGAGTAGTACTGTTTAATAGTATCATCCAAAATAAAGGGTTTAAAAAAGAAAAAGTCTTTATCATATAAGGCAAATAAAGAATAAGTTGAGCATCTCTCACTCAATGGTACAATCTCTTAATTAAAAATCAATTAAGCGCAATCATCATCACTCAAATTCTGTCTACTAGCAGTAACTAGTAGTGCCACACTCGGTATCATCTCTAAATTCCTGGCAAAGCAACTAGGAGCACATACCTGGTCAACGTTGTGATTAGTTGCAGGTCTTCCTGTAAAGAATGCAGGTCGATCAGGTTTGAGAAGACTAGTAGCTTCACATTTTAACATTAGAACAACCGACGACATAGTTGGTCATTTGTTTGTATCCATCCTCTTGGACACACAATAATCCCGACATTGATGCATCTCAAGAATTCATTGGAACTACATGAGTCTTTCAATAATGGATCCATTAACTCCAACCCTTTCCCTTCGTTCCATAATTCCCAAGCCTGCAATTGATACATTTCAAAAATTATGTATATACTAAAAGAGGAAAAAGCCTAGAACACTCTTCCTTTGACAGTGTGATTCCTTTTTTACCCCTTCTTTGTTTCTAGAGTTACTGTTTATTGTACAGTGTGATTCCGTTTTTACCCTTTCTTTGTTTCTTTGGTCTTTTGGCTCTTCTCGAGTCTTCTGCTTCGTTTTTGTCTATCTGAGAAGGGAAGGATCTAGATGTACACGTGTGGGTCATCTAGGAATGCAAATCTTAAACTCCGGTAGGACATTTGTACATGCTCGATGTGTCGATGACCCCGTCCGGTTAGTAGAAGCGTCCGATTGTATGTGACACGAAGTTGACTAATAGGACTAACACCAAACCACACAATCCTCATGTTTCTTCCTTGTTTTCTCTTGTCACCATTGAATTTCTTGCGTAAATCGAATTCAACAAGTTAGTAAACTAGTCATACCAGAAAACATGAAGTTGGACGACTTGCTGCAGAATGAAAGCTCAAGGCCCTAAATAGTTTGAACAGACTAAAAATGCTTCCAAAGTTGAAGTTGGTTCTTTGTGACATTACAATTTCATGTCAAATTGTTGAGGGATGTATAAGAAATATGTGAATTGAATGTATATATTACTAGGTTACGGATGTTTTAGTCGTTAGATTTTATTTTTATAACTATTAGATATTCTACTTTTAATCTCAGCCATTCATTTTTTGTATCATTCATTATTATATAATATAGAAGAAAATTTGAATAACATACAAAATTGCTAAAATCTCTCTCAAAGCAACCCAAGGAGCAAGGCTCACCTTGATATGGGTTTAGAATGTTTGGCCCACCTAGTTGTTCTCCCCCTCCTTGTCCATAAATCAAATCAAAACAAAAACAAAATTGAGTGAACAAGAATTTTCTTTGGGTGCATGCAACGTGACATTTCTGGTCCGAGAAATGCTTGGCTTCTACAAGATTGAGAATAGGTTTTTCTTCAAAACACTTCGTTGGTTTACAGAGTGTAATGTTTATGATAAAAGGCTTTTGATGTTATAAATTTTTTTGTAAATATTATCTGTGAGAAACAATCAATTAAAACTAAAATTATTTACTTAATCAATTGTAGTGAATAGATAGAAGATTCATAATGTTTTTATTGAATCCGACAATCTGATTTTCTACAGTTCAAAAACTAAGCTAAGTGGGAAATATTCAAATATCACAACTCATACGAGATTTCTCAAAACAAATAATAAGGAAACATATATATATATATATATATATATATAGACATCATCTTATTGTTCTTTTATAAAAATAACATCATTTTATTCTATAGAAAAAATATATTGACATCATCTTAGCTTTCCACCATTCACCTTCTAAATACATTTTCACTTAAAAGCTACTTATTCATTCTGAAAAAAAAAAAAAAAAAAAAAACAAGAAAGAAACTATTTATCCATTCATCTCTTAAAATATGTAACATTATTGATCTTTGTGTTTATGGATAATATTTGTTTTGGTAACTGTGTTTTCAATTTAATCATTGTACTTTAAGTAGTTTAGGCTAACTAGTTATAACAATATACTCGTTGTTAGAGCCTAAAAATGTCATACACCAATCCAACTAAGTCCCAAGACCTAAGATCCATTTGTCAAGCAAGCCTTCATTCAAGCCCAAACATATGCCGGGGTGTGGGATCGATAAGGAAATACATTTAAAAACAAGCCATGCCACAGGTAATTAAGCCAGATATTCACATAAATCACGCCATGCTCATGCCTATTCATCATGCCAAGCTTCCTCATGCTAGTCACTATTCATGCTAAGCTCAAGTCACATATTCAGAGCTTGTCAAGTGGATTGTGGTGTGCATGGTTCCGGAAGGTTATTGGGCCTATGTAGAATAGGGGTTATGGAAGACTTTGGGCTGCTTGGAGGTCCAAAGATCCTAGCTCATACCCTTTGCATCTCACGAAGGCAACATTGAGAGAGAACTAGCCTAGTTTACCTCTTTTCCTAGCAAGCCAATCCTCCTAGTTAGGACTAAACGGGCTTACTGCATTAAATGTATGCTAAACCTAGCAAGTCAAATGCTGACTTTCCCTTCCTAGCTTGCATAGACAACCAACGCACAAAAGCCATGAAGCACAATTGATAAGACCTCAATCGACCTTAACTCTAATTGCAAGGAAAACTACAACTTTCATTGGACCAGAAAACTAATACAAATTCTTCACGCGACCTCCATTACAATTGATCACTATATAGCCTATTTCTCATCTTATTTAACCGACTTACAACAACAACAACTAAACATGGTTTACAATAACCCAACAAACAACTAACCAAGGTTAGACATATCAACAAAAAATTAACCCACAGTAAAGAAAATAGAAGTAAAAGTAACCAATATTTACAAACCAATGGAGGAATGCCATCTAGCATCCTAACAGCGCTACCAGAAGTAACGCCTGCAAAAGGTCGGCCTGGAAAACCCTTGCCTCAAGAAGAAGCAGAATGTAGGTCTTAACATTGCAGCTACATTACACCAAAGGGGAAATAGTAGGAGGGCTAGGAAGAAAGGAAGGGGAAGACCAAACCACAAAGGGAGATTCCCTTGAAGCCTAGAGAATAGCCCTTCACTTACATAAGGACGGAGAAACCATTTGAGCAAAGAGGTAACACAGAGAGAGATAGAAGAGAACGCAGGGAGAACACCACCAAAAAAAAAAAAAAGAGCCTAGAGAATTCCATTTTAGTCCAGAAGCATTCTTCAAGCCTCAAGCATCATCATTCATACAACCTGAGTAACTCCCACAACCTTCCATTAAACATCCCAGCCATTAGAAGCCATACTATCATCCTAGGAAAGCCCAAATCATCTAGCCAAGAATGTCATGCAACCATGCAAATCCCTTCTCTCTCATGTTAAATAAATAATCTTCTAGCTTCCACACTACGCTTCACTTGAGCAAGTCATTATCTTGATCAATCATGCTATCTTCAGGTCATTGATGTTAACAGGGTATTTCCTAAGATAAGCTAACTCTTTCGAGATATTTTGGAACTTGGTACAAATCCTAACCAAGGGAGACAAGATGACGTTCTCAAAGCCTAAGTTCATCTCGACCTAAAAGTCCCTTAGCACTGTCATTTTGCAATCAAATTGGAGTTCTCCTACTAACAAATTAGAGTATTTTGAAAAATCACTTGTCAAAGAAAAATAAAAGAAATCATTCTATTATTTTAGTTGATTCTGTAACATCTCACATCGACCAACAGAGAGGAGGTGATGTGCCTTATATGTACATGCCCACCTCCATATAGCACGAGACATTTTGGGAACTCACTGGCTTCAGATTCCATCAGAACTGCGAAGTTAA